CATCCCCAAATGACTCCAAAACATCCCCAACGGCTATATACAACATCAAACACATTCCAAGCTATAAATACAAGCTAATGACACTTGAAAAAGTGAAAGAACAACTATCCAAGCAATCAAACACAAGAGAAGAGTTTTTCATTCTTATTTCATCTTTCTCTTGTAAATATTTTGTTCTTGTGAGCTTAATTCTTGTAAACATCTACCTTAGAGAGGTTTTATTGTTTATATTTTTTTATCCTTTTGTAAAAGGAAAAGGTTCTAGCTAATCCCGTGTAAAAGCTAGGGAAAGGTTCTAGTTTAGCCCGGAAAAACTAGGGAGTTGTAAGGTTATCTCTTTGTCCTTAAAAGAAAGAACAAATTAGTGAATTTATTGGAAAATCCTTGGTGAGGAGCTAAGGTAGTGGACGTAGACTTTGGTTGAGAAAGTCAAACCACTATAAATCGCTGTGCAATTCTCTATCTTTCAATCTCTTTACTCTCTAAACACAAAACCGTTCCGATTATCGATTCGAGCTTCCGAAAATCCCAACAATTGGTATCAGAGCCTAACTCGTTAAGAAGGTTTAACCACCTTGAGACGATCCTCGAAGAAGCTCTACCAATTCCCGACACAACCGAGAAGATGGCTTCTACCTCCGGCTCGTTCCACATGGAAAACTCCCTACCAACGGACAAGCCTCCATACTTCAATGGAGTCAACTATTGTCATTGGAAGAAATTAATGAAGGTATTCATCCAATCCAATGATCTTGATGCATGGGAGATAATCGAAAACGACTACTCTTCTCTAAAGAAGAAAGAGAATAAGAGGAGTGACAAAGAACGGAAGAAAACTCAACTTAATGCCAAGGTCATGCACATGGTATTGTGTGCATTTGGTTCTGAAATCTATAAAGGAGTTTCTTCATGTTCAAGTGCCAAAGAGCTTTGGAATATGCTCGAGGAAATACATGGAAACAAGAAAGAATAACCAACAAAGGTGGTGTCTTTAATGGTTCGTGAAGAGCATGAGGTATCTTCTAACTCAAATGAATTTAATTCATATTCTTTTGATGAGTTACAAGGTGCTTATAATAAGTTGTATTTGGGATTTGAGACCATGAATTCCAAATATAAGAAAATGATTTCAAAATATAAAAAAGAAAACAATTTTCTTTTGAAAGCAAAAATGGATTTTGAAAACCAAAATGAAATTTTGTGAAAGGATTTAGAGCTTTCAAAAATGAAAATTGAAAGTTTTGAAAAAGAAAATTTTGATTTAAAAGTTAAGTTTGAATGCTTAACAAAAGAAAAAGAAATCATTTTAAATAATTTATCTAGTTCAATAATGACAATATGCTCACATTGTCATTATAATGGTCATAAGGAACATAGTTGTCCTTTGAAGAAAGGAAAACGTTTTAAAATTAGGCAAGTATAGGTTCCGAAAGGAACAAGGGGCATTGAAACTAACGTTCAAAGATCCAAAGCAATTTGGATACCAAAAGCTACTTAAATGTCTCTTGTAGGTGTGTGGGAGCAATGGTGATGAAAGTGATGATATTCAAGATGCTCTAGCCACACATGAAAAAGAATTGGGTAACCTCTAAGCTTAATGCTTTTGATTTTGAATATTTGGTTGCTCATTTCATTTTAAGCATGCATGAGTTTTGTTTTTAAATGATTATGCATCATTGTTTTAATCTCATGTATGTTGAAAAGATGATTATGATGAACATTTTAAAGTTAGATTAACTTTTAAGAATTTTTAGTTCATCATAATAAAATTTTGGTCAAAATTGTTTTTAATGCAAATGATATCTCTCTAACAATTGATATCAACTTTTGATTTTATAAATTTTAAATTTTTGACCTAAAATTAAATGTTTATGCATGTGATTTAAAATGCAAAAGATATCTCTCTAACAATTGATATCAAAAATTTTCAAATGCATAACATTTTTGGAAAACTTTATACATATGCACTTAATTTCAATAATTGATATTGTATAAAGTATTTTAGACTTGGATATATTGAATTTCATGTACTACTAACATGTTTGTTATTCTTTGTTGAAATTCAATTTTGTTTGAGTGTCAAGTTCTTAAAGCTAAATTTTGTTTGGAATTCTATTATTAGGGGGAGCTTTAATTTTTCAAATGATTTTTAAATGTCAAATTTACTATTTACTCTCCAAATCGAACTATAAAGATTGAATTATTTTTTATATAACAAAAAAGGGGAGAAGTGTGGTTTGAAAAATTCAATTTCTTAATGAAAAAGGGAGAGCTTAACACTTTCATATATTTTCCAACAATTGGTATCTTTTTCATTAAACATTTTATTAAGGGGGGTTTTGCCAAATACAATTTTCAAATGTTTTGTTGTATCAAAAAGGGGGAGATTATTTAATTATGTTTCGATATAACAAATTTAAGGCAAAATGTTTTTGGACTTGAATTGAATTTATTCAAAGTTTTTAAAAGGTTTAAAAATAATTCAAAGTCCATTAAATTCGGATTTGAGCAAAAATGCTAAAGGGTGTCAAAGTGCATCCATGCACCTCTACAGTGCATCCATGCACCTGCCATTAGTGCATCGATGCACCATGCAGTGCATCCATGCACTCCATTTCGAATGCAATTAGTGCATCGATGCACCCTACTGTGCATCCATGCATCAAGGCTGCAATGGCTAGTAACAACTAGTTTATTTGAATTTAATGAAGGGGTATCGATGCACCTTAATAGTGCACCGATACACCTTAATAGTGCACTGATACACCATGTTATGGGCAGCCTTTTTGAGTAGAAAAATCATCCCCAAACGACTCCAAAACATCCCCAACGGCTATATACAACATCAAACACATTCCAAGCTATAAATACAAGCTAAGAACACTTGAAGAAGTGAGAGAACAACTATCCAAACAATCAAACACAAGAGAAGAGTTTTTCATTCTTATTTCATCTTTCTCTTGTAAATATTTTGTTCTTGTGAGCTTAATTCTTGTAAACACCTACCTTAGAGAGGTTTTCTTGTTTACATTTTTTATCCTTTTGTAAAGGGGAAAGGTTCTAGCTAATCCTGTGTAAAAGCTAGGGAAAGGTTCTAGTTTAGCCCGGAAAAACTAGGGAGTTGTAAGGTTATCTCTTTGTCCTCAAAAGAAAGAACAAATTAGTGAATTTGTTGGAAAATCCTTGGTGAGGAGCTAAGGTAGTGGACGTAGACTTTGGTTGAGAAAGTCAAACCACTATAAATCGCTGTGCAATTCTCTATCTTTCAATCTCCTTACTCCCTAAACACAAAACCGTTCTGACTCCTCTTTACAAACTGTTCCGGTTGTCGATTCGAGTTTCCAAAAATCCCAACACAAGCTTATATACAAGTCTCAACACCTATTTAACAAACTAACCATATTCTAACTTCCTCTACTAAGTATTAATTAATAGATAATTAACATAATAGCTAACTTCTAACTTAAACACTCCCCCTCAAGTTGGAGGGAAAAAAATATCTTTGATCCCCAACTTGGAAACAAGATACTGATGTTGCTTCACTCCCTATGACTTTGTTAAAATGTTCGCTAACTGCTAGACTGAAGTAAATATACTATCTTGATCGCTCTTCTTTGTATTTGATCTCTAACAAAGTGACAATTAATATCTATATGCTTTGTTCATTCGTGGAATATTGGATTAATAACTATCTGAATCGTTGCTTTGATGTCAAAGAAAAGAGTCATTGATTCTTATTTCTGAAGTCCCTATTATACTAATAAACCATTTAACCAAATGATTTCAGCTAATATAACAACTATACTCTAATATTCTGCTTCTGCGGAGGATCTTGCTACCATATTTTGCTTCTTCAATTTCTATGATATAAGAGAATTTTCGAGCTTTATATAATATCCTAAAACTAATCTTTTTGTCATAAGACAAGAGGCCCATCAGAATCGCGGAAAGATTCCAATTGCATACTTCATGATGCAGAAAATAACAAACCTTGTAGAAGACTTTTCTTAATGTATCTTACAATCCTAAGCACTTCTTCTAAATGAGACTTTTTAGGATTTTGCATGAATTGACTTAGGTGTTGTACAGAGTATGTAATATCAAGTCTTGTGTGTCAAGTAAATGAGTCAACCTATTAACCTATGATAAACATTATTGTTGTTAGAGTTTGACTCGAATTCAAAGTGACACAAATTAATTAATATATAAATATTGGGAAAGCAGAAAACCTAATTTGATTAAAAGTACAAAACTTTATTAAATTAGATTTATACTTTATTTAGTTTTCTTTTGTAATCAAATATATATCCCTATAAATAGATACTAAGGGTTAGGAATAGTTATTGAGTTATTTTCTTTCACCAAAATCCTCTTGCATTTTCCCCCTTCATATTAGTGAAATTATTCTCTCTTGTCCGTGGTTTTTCCCTTTTGGGTTTTCCACATAAATCCTGGTGTTCTTTGTTTTTCCTTTTCGACCGTGTTTATTTTTTTATCGATAATCATCGTTTCGATATTATAACAAATTGATATCAGAGCTTCGGGTTCAAGATTATGGCAACAATAAAGTATGATATTATGTTTTTAGATCGAAACATCAAGTTTTCTCTATGGTAAGTGAAGATTCAGGATATTCTCACACAGTTAGATCTCGACGATGCAATAGAAGAATTTGATGAGAAGTCGGTAACATAATGGACGAATGAGGAAAAGCGTAAGGATTGTAAATCTCTTTCTCAGGTTCATTTACACTTATCAAATCAAATTTTATATTATGTGTTGAAAGAAAAAATAGTTGAATCTTTATGGGCGAAATTGGAGCAACTTTGCATGCAGAAATCATTGACAAGCAAGTTGCACCTAAAGCAACGTCTTTATTCACTAAAGTTGGCAGAAGGTTTGTCTCTTGAAGAGTACCTGACCACATTCAAGGAAATCGTCTTTGATCTAGAGAATTTAGAAGTGAAGTATGATCAAGAAGACTTATGACTAATCCTCCTATATTCGTTACCTATTTTCTACTCGTCTTTCAGAAATACAATCTTGTACAATAATGAGACATTTACTCTTGAAGAAGTTTACAATGACCTGCAATCATTTAGCAAGATGAATTATCTTGTATCTGGTTCCGAGCCCCAGACAGATGGTCTCGTGATGCATGAATCGACTAGCTCAGACAGTGGGTGAAAAGGAGAGCGTTCTTATGATAATATTGGAAGGGGTAGATCAAAATCTTCCAACCATGGTAAAACTTGTCACTATTGTAAAAAGAAATGTCATGTTAAATCGGAGTGTTATAAGTTACAAAATAAAATAAAAAGAGAAGCTAAAAAGCAGAATTCTGGAAAATCTGGTGAGGTCGATATAGTAGAGGAGTACGATGACGGAGAACTCGTAGTTACGATTGACGACAACTTTATAACATGTGATGAGTGGATACTTGACTCTAGTAGTATTTTTCATATGAGTCCTAATCGTGATTGGTTTGCGATGTATGAAGATGTTTCTATGAGTGATGTATTTTTGGGAAATAATATCCCTTGAAAAGTCGCAGTTATTGGTACAATCAAGATCAAGATGTTCGATGAGATTGTTCAAACACTTGGTAATGTGAGACATGTTCCAAATTTTAGTAGAAATATAATTTCGTTAGGTACTCTAGATTCAAAATGGTACAAATTCTCTAGTGAATGTGGAGCTATGAAAATTTGCAATGACTCTATTGTTATGTTGAAAAAGCAGAGAAAGACTACCAAGTTTTATGTTTTATAGGGTTCAATAGTTTTAGATAATGCAGTTGGTGTTTCATCCACTTTGTCAAATAACGTTGTTGAACAAAATAACCGTGGGCAGAACGGTTATGTGAAGCAGAAAAGAGTTCAACTTCGTGAGCATAATGAATTTGAAGATAGAACTATCATTGATGATCGTGATCATGTTGTGCATCATATTGCTCATGGTGAAACATTTGTGAGTAAAGTTGGCACTTATGATAACCATGTCGATGTGAAAACTAAATCCAAGCCTAGAAAAAGCTTGGACTTGATCGGTGTCCGTTACTAAAGTTACCCCTTTGAGGGGTGTTGTAGAAGAGGTGGAGAACTTGTTCGATGAAGTGAAGAATTGTTTTTATGTTGAGTTTGGGTGTTACATCGAATTTGTGTGTTTTGTCTCGAAACCTTTGCACTTTCAGAATTCGTGTAAAGGTGGAGATTTGTTAGAGTTTGACTCGAATTCAAACTGGCTCAAATTAATTAATATATAAATATTGGAAAAATAGGAAACTCAGTTTGATTAAAAGTAGAAAACTTTATTAAATTAGATTTATACTTTATTTAGTTTTCCTTTGTAATCAATTATCTATCCCTATAGATAAGTACTAAGGGTTAGATATCAAGTTATTTTCTTTCACCAAAATCCTCTTGTATTTTTCTTTTTTCATATCAGTGAAATTCTTCTCCCCTACCCGTGGTTTTTCCCTTTTGGGTTTTCCACGTAAATCATGTTGTTCTTTGTTTTTTCTTATCGATCTTGTTTATTTGTTTGCCGATAATCATTGTTCCAATATTTTAACACTTGTCTTCTAGTAACTCATCATCGCATTTCTGCTATCTTCGTTCATCAAATTCGGCAAAGTCAATTTATAGTTTTGCTCAAGATGTGTCAAGGCTGACATTTCTCCCCTTGTTCCAGTATCCTCAATAAATTGCAAAGCATATTGACGTTGACTTATCATGATTCCTTCCTTTAATCTCAAAACCTCTAGACCAAGAAAGATCTTCAACAAACATAAGTCTTTCATTTTGAAGTTATGATGCAATATTTCTTTCAAGCCTTCAATCATGCTTTTGTCGTTATCAGTAATTATAAGGTCACCATCATAAATTAACATGACTATTTTACTTCGTTCCTTTTATGTGAATAGGGAATACTTAAACTTACTTTGTTTATACCCAGTTTTAATAAGTGCCTCGGTTAATTTCAGATTTCATTGCATGGATGTTTACTTTAACCTGTAAAGAGACTTTTACAGCTTACATACCTTCTCATTCTGGCTGTAAAATCCATTAGGCAGATTCATATAAACTTCCTCTTGCAAATCTCTTTAGAGGAAAGCATTGTACACGTCAAGTTGAAACAAAGGCCAATGCAACATAGCTTCCAATGCAAGCAAAAGTCTAACAGTGACCAATTTTACCACAAGAGAAAAAGTGTCAACATAGTCTACCATTCCCTCTGGTTGTAACCCTTAACTACTAATTTAGCCTTGAACCTCTCCACCTCTTAAGCTTTGTAATTGATCCTATAAAAAAATTATCCGATTTTTTGTTTCTGTTTGGTAACCTTTCGAATTTGATCATAACATCTAGGTAAAATTTGAGTTGTTACATGTATCAAGATCGAGAAGGATTCAAACTTATTTTAGAACTAGGTGCTATTGTCAACGATGTTGAGCTTTTTGATTCGAACCTAAGCCCTTCTTTTGCTACTTAGGCGATACGACAGTTTCATGTGTTAAAAATTTAATTCAATTACTTAAAATATATTTCACATCATATTTGAGTTGACATTTAATACTTAAAATGATTGTTGGACCGATCTAATAATCTACTTGAAACAATATTAATAATTGGATGAATGATTTAGAAGAATTGATTTTAATTGTAGTTTCTAAAATCAAAACTACAATTAATAATTGGATGAAACCAAACATAAAGTTGATCCCAATTTGCATGGATGTAAATTACAAAGAATAGGTAAAACAATCCTATAATTCATCTTTGCAAAAGAAAGAAAGAAAAACAAATAGGTGAGTGACGTTGAAAGAAAAATCATGAATAACAAGACAAAAACCATAAAAGGGAGAAATAAAATGGGGCCAATATTATATATGCAAGTAGGAGAAGAAGTTGCTTGCAATCTCACAGCTATACAATGGGGTCAACAAACTATATCATTTCTCCTGCAAATATATCTTATTACAGATACAGAAAACACGTCCAAATATCAAATAAATACATGAGAAATGGGCTTCAAGATTTTGGTACGGCATTTTGTCTAAATCCAAATATAATTTCCATCAAATAATATATATACACATAGAATTAAGAAATACCAATTAAAGAAATTAAGAAGTGGGATTTATTATTTGATATTTAGATGATATATTTACACATAAAAATAAGAAACTATTATTTATCTTAATAATTCATTCAATTTTAAATACCAATTAAAGATACGTGGATATTCTTAAAATATTTATTTTTTTGGTTCATGTACTTGTATACATGTGTATGAATATTTTGATCCAAGAGGATTCATTAGAAAAAAAGTTACATTTTGTGTCCCCCCCCCCTCCCTTCAATTATTTGATGTCTAGAAAAGTGGAATTGTCTACTACGAAAACGAACAAAAATTTACATGAACATGGTGGGTTTTGGATTTTTTTTTCCTTTTGAATTTATGAAAAAAAATATAAATATATACTTACAAAAAATATATACGAGGGGCATGGAATTATTGGTGACCTAATGTACCCCATTTGAGATATGGGGATGACATTTGCTATTTGAGAAGGGAAAGAGATTATATGTACTATTGATAAAAGTGTGTTTTGTCTTTAATCTATACTAACGTGTTAAATATACATTATTATTTTTGGAACTAATTTTACTAAATTAATCAACTAAGGTTGCTTTTATTTACTTGTTATCCATATATTTTTTGATATATATATATATATATATAAGACAGGGACAAAGTCATGATTGAACTATAAGAGCCTAAAGTTACGTAACTTTGAAACAAATATGATTCTAAAAAGTAATTAAATCGTAAAAATTGAGAGAGTTATGATTTAATTATTTGGACTAAGTAACGAAACTATAAAATTAGAGAGATAAAACTAAGTCAAATTAAAAAAATAAAGACTAAACCTCAAATTTGAGCATAATAGAGGGATCAAATCCCTAATTTGACCTAAATTATATGAAGCTAAACATTTAGTTTAATTAGTTAAAACGGTTATAGTTAGACTTTAAATTTTAATGTTGATTTTCCCTTTTAAAAAATAATAAACCTTCAAATTTTAGTAACGATGGTGGAAAACATATTACATATAATAACTGATGTACAAATTCCACACCCCTATATGACAACCAGCACACATTAAAAAAATATAAATAAAACTTGAAAGAATGAATATGTTGGTTTTCTATGTAAATTTTGTGAAAAAGAAAAAGGTTTTAGATAATAACATTCAATTATTTTAATAGATTTTAAAAACGATATAAATTTGACTAATGGATCAAAACTAATGTATACGTCGTTACTATATACATATATATACACTCTTTTTTTTCCTTGTCTTTAAAGCAATTTTCTAATCATAAAATGAAAATAATATTATATAATTGGATCGAATTCTACAAAGCATAACAAGAGAATTATGATTCATTGAAAACGTAAACCCTAACCTCTTCAGCCAGTAGACAATATCCACTGATTGTGCATGCTTTTTCAACCTATGATATTGATTTATCATTTTTATAATATAATTTTTACTTTGGGAAAGAGCCTTTATGATTGCATAAATGAGCACACGGAAAATGGGTTATTTAAATGTATTTTCTCACATCAAAACAGCAGCTGCATTTCACACATTTTCTTCACATATATAATTTATGAAAGCTAAACTTGAATTTGACTAGGATGAAATAGACATGCATGTACGTGTGAACTTTCTCCCTTTGCTGCTTCAACAATACATGCCTTCATCCATTTGCAATTTGTTTCCCAAATCGAATATTTTGCAAGGATTATTCATTATTCCTTATAGTTAAATTGATAATTAGAATACATTTAAAATTAATTTAGTCTGGGTGAATATAATATAATATATGCTTAAAGACATTCAATCATTTGATGTTAAACGTTTATACATCTATACATATATACATAAGTGATGTTCAATCAGAAAACGCAAAGAATAACATAACCACTTAGATTAATTCGTACTAGTTTAAAATAGATTTAAATTAGAATCAATAGTGATAAGTTAAGCTATGATTATGGAGTATTATTTATGGAAAGTTGAAAAGTAGAAAAAGGGTAGATAGATATTGTTACCCTTAATGGGGAAAATGGTCACTTTCTCTCTCCTCATTGTATTTCACCATCTGCCAAAAGCAATCTTCACCACCATTCATCATTCACCTCATCATCACATGAAGAAGATGAAGAAGAATATATATAACTTTATTCCCAGGTTTCCATTTTTTCCCTTTAATTTTCCCTCATAACTTTATTCTTTGTTTAGGAATTGAATTTGATTTGATTTTAAATACAATTGAAATTAATAAAAGAAGGCATAGAATTCCCGTTGTTGGAATTCAAACTTGTGTTTTGCAACAAGCAAAAGGGAAGGAATTTATGATATTATTCATCTTCTTCTTCCCACTTTATACACTATACAGGGATAGGTAACATGGAGAAAGAGAGAGGTTTAGCCCTTCAAAGAAAAAGAAAAAAGGCTTAAAACCAGAAAAGAAAAAGATTCACACTCAGTCACAAATCACAATCAGAGATTCAGAAACAAAGAAGGAAAGAACACTAATAATCCCATAGCAAACCTTCTTCAAAACCATGTTGTAAAATAGTTTCTGGAGCTAGTAATTGATCACAATCATACTCACAGTCTTCCATATTTTGCAGCCATGGTGGAGGGGAAAACCAACCATCCACCGAGTCCATGAAAACGAACTCGTTTTTAAACTCGACGGAGTCGTAACTAGTCCCGAGGCTCGGCAGCTCGACTATCTCGCTTAACTCGTCCGACCCTGAAGATAAGTCCATCTGAGAAACCAAAGACGATAGTGACGACGAAGATGACAGTGTTGAAGTGGAAGATGGTGATGGGGAGTCGAATTTGTTCATCTGTGCAGCTTTCGCTGCCGCGGCTTGGACGTCGCGTGGTGCCAAAGACACGGGTCGAGGTAACGAGTCAGCGAGTTCGGGGAAGTTGAGGATAGCTGAGTTGCCTTTGATGCTTAACGCGGCTACATCATGTGCACGAGCTGCCATTTCCGGCGTAGGGAAAGTGCCGAGCCAAATGCGGGATTTTTTACGTGGCTCCCGGATTTCGGACACCCATTTCCCCCAGCTCCGCATCCGGACGCCGTGGTAAACGCTGTGCTTGTTCGAATCCCTCACTCTCTTCATCTTTTTATTACCATCCGAAGCTGCGGTTTCGGATTTGCGGTTTAGGGTCTCCGTCGAGCGAGCCAAACTCGGAGACGAAGGTGATAACGGCAGCGAAGAGGCTGAATTCGAGCTGCTCTCCGTTTCTGAATGTTGCGGTTCAGCCATTGGAGGCTTTCTTCTATAAGCAGCTTTTTTTCTTCTTTCTATTCCACTATGCAAAGGGATGGGGTTTGAGGTAACGTTATTGAATGAAGAGCGTGTGGGCTATTAGAAAGAGAAAAATTAAACACTTTAAAGGGAAGAACAAGAGAGATGCTATTAGGTAATATTTTTTGTGCCCCCATCGTTTCCCAAGGACTCATACAACAACTTATAAGGATTGAGAGACTTATAGATATGATCCACAAGAGAAATGGGTCACATACCCTCCACCTATATGCCTATGGTTCAATTGGGGTTGCCCTTCTCTAGAACCACTCAATACCCATTCAATTATATTTCTTTTATATCTATATATATTTTACTTCGATTATATCTAGAATCTAATTAAATCGGACTCATAAACAAGGGCAAAACTATCTTAACATAACTTTTCCTATTCATAAAAATTAAACTTAAGATTTTATTTAAGAAAAATCAAACTCTTTATCATTCGACCCAATAAAATAATAAACATTAATCACTTATTCCTCCAATCTTTTCATCCATCAATGATATTTTCTTTTTATCACCATTTTCACCCTTTGTCTCTATAACAAGTTTCCCCCTTGAATGTTTGGTAGAATAGGATACATATCAACTATTTGATAATATAAAAGTATACATGGTTTGTGAAGTAGCCCATGCTTGGGTTTACAGAGCTGTCGGATAATGTTGAATGAATTTTTTATTTAAATTATAAAATTTATGTAAATATCTTTTTGCCATTGATGATTGATTCTTTGATAAGTGAATTGTGTTTATAATATATTTAATGGGTCCGATAGACCGATTTAAGAAAAATGTTGCACTTAAATATTTTCATTAATGTTATGAATGAATCAAATTTAAATAAATATATTTATATTTATTTGTTTATTTTATATTTATATCTAATTGATTTATATGTTTCATTTAATATTCTTTTATAAAACATTGATAACATATCAATTTACACTCTTGATAATGATAGTAAATGAATGTCAAGTAGTATAAATAAAGTAGATAAAATAAAATAATGGCGATGAATCAAGGCATTGAGACTCTGAGAAGCGAACCATTGCTCTCAATAAAGTCTGTAGTTCTTTCAATGGACAAAGGTTACTAGGCGAAAGAACACGGAGATAAGTGATAAGCCACATTTTTCTTTTGGGTTAACTATACTGGACATCCTTAATTTAGGATTTCAATTCCAAATTAGTATAAAAATTCAGTCTCAGGATTTAAATTCCCTTTAAATATTAAAATTAGCTGACACTTATTCCCATATGTAATGGGGTAAGAGGAGGTAAGATAGTAGGTTATCCCCAACACCAGGTTGAGGGCAGCTTCCATAGGAGAGCTCCGAATTATGAAATGCCCTCCGTGGGACTCGATCCCACGACCCTAAGGTTAAGAACTTTGTGCTCTACCAACTGAGCTGGATGGTCATTTCATAATTCGGTCCTTCGATGGATCTAACAGTCAATTTGAATGTTAAATATCAACTCAGGTTTAACACGAAGCATATTCAAAATATCAATTGCATGGATAGTTTAAGTTTGACATATTAAAACAACTTAATTTTTTAAAACAAAAACATGTCATATCTAAAATGTATTTTTACATATGTTTCAATACAATGTGTGTTTAACGCTCAAAATGACAACTAAATTGATAGAATGACAACTAACTCTTTTCTTTTGTATTACTCTCAAATTAGAAAACAATTAAATTTATACTTTTTAAATATCTCTATTAATATTGAATCTCTAATTTAATTGTTTAGAAATTGAAATCGAAAATAATGTTAATTAAAGTTTTTTTCATATATGTTTTATCATTTCATTCGTGATTTAATGGACAAATGTAAGTCTATATTTGATTAAAAATCAAGGAGGAAGGAAGAGATCTTTACTAGGGACCCAAAAATTTGGTGTGTAATCTTCCAAAATCTTGTACAGTTTGGTAGTAGTTAAAGTTGATTTGCAACACATAGGCCATGGCATGAAAGGTGAGTCACATTGGGTCCAATGGGAGTTACTGCAACCAAGACACGGTGGCTTGATTGCGTGTTGGTATTTAGAAATTAAATAAGAAATGAAAATTATTGGGTTTACATTATTTGGTCAAATTAAATGAAGATGCCCCCACATGTTGAAATTGACCTCTCTTTTGCAAATCAAGAGGGTCCCTTCTCCACATGGAACCCTCCACTCCAACCCTTATTCTGTGGGAATTGTTAATAATTTGATTTCTCTGTTTTCTTTTTATATTACGGTTATCGTAATTGATTGAATTAAAAGTTAATTAGGTCGGCACAAATCAAATTACTTCGGTGGTTAAATTTATTGTTTTTAGAGGTCACGAGTTCGAGCAATAGCAACGGTAAGGGTGATTGAGCGTTCATTGTCAAATGGTTAAGAGTGTTTAGAACAAGTACTATTTTGTAATCACCTTTAGCTTAATAAAAAAAGTTAATTAGGTTGATAATTTAATTATATAAATTGATCTAATTATATTTTTTTATCATTTACTAATTCTACTAAAGTATGAATAAGTTTTGTTATAAGACAATTAAGTGTTTGGTTTGTTATAAAACAATAATATTAGTGATAGTTTTGTGGCTTTTAAGATTTTAGTGTTAAAAAAGAAATTCATTAATACTTCAGTAATCATTTATATAGTTTACTCTTAACCCGCATAGCTAGAGAATGTCAACTAAGCCAACCTAACGTACCACATTAATCTTCTGTTATTGGGACAATAACAGTTAACGAGAGAGTGATCGATTTGTTATAAAACAATAATGTTAATAATTAATTTATTACTTTTAAAACTTCAGTATTGAAAAGGGAAATGTATCCATACTTTAATGATTGATTAGTTTAGAGAACTTCTATCAACTAATAAAAATTGGAAATTAAAAATCAATGATCCTATAGAACAATTTTTAATTAATCATTATTAAACCAACGATTTAATTAATTAAAATAAAAATTGATCCTATAATCAATTTAATCATTAATCTATTTAAACACGATATTCAATCCGTTAAAGCCTAACCAACATTTACCACGCATATATTAAGATGTTACTATCCCTTAAATAAGTTTTATTTTTAATATAAATTTTAAATTTAATCCATATTCTAATATAGAGGAGAGGGAAATGATACTCTAAGAGAAGAAAGAAAAGCGTTTTTAGTGGGTCTAAAACCCATGACCTAATAAAAATACGAGAGAACAAAAATGAACTTTGACCAACCAATTAAATATACTTATTAATCGCTTAAATAAACTCTAAACGAATGAATTAGATTTTTTTAAAGTAGAACGATAATATATTCATTGACAAAAAAAAAACATCATCAGTAACGTCTTGCCACATGCATACATGACAAATACATTCATGTTTATCATAATCAAAATATAACAATGATCGACCAGTGACAGCCTAAGTAAGAGCATGAACAATTAAGGCAACAATATAAAGAGATGGATCACTTTGACGTCCCAAAACATCAGACATAGAGGAGGAAAACATGAAGAATATCTAAGATAAACGAATAAAAAACAAATTCTCCTTTAACAACAATCTAGTTTGACATAGATATCCGAGAACCAACAGAATGTTATATGCAAACGAACAAAGGAACCAGACATCAGAAAAGCAAGTAACCATGAAATCCCGAAGAAGTATATACCAAAAAGAAAACCAATGGAAGAAACTTGCACCGAGAGTCCAAAAACACTGGTACCTATGACTCTTTATTGGAATTAGATTGAATAGACCACAAGTGTAATGTCAAGCTAGCAATTGTCATTAATAAGAACATTTTAATGTTTGATTAGACTCAATTTCAAAATGGTCTTGTGTTAATGGGTAAAGTGATAAATAATTGTAGAAAGTGGTTCTAATGGTTTTAATACGTTGATTTGGTTTTTTGTGGTCTAGAAGAAGTGCGTTATCATCTCTCCTGTATGGCTCTTTATAATTACATGAATAGGTGTCAATCAAGTGTCAATCAGAAATTATTATGACAGTTGTATTAATTATATGTATTAGTAAATGATGGCTTAAACTAAGAAATCACGTGTATCAACACGTAACCGCTGATTATTATATGCCGAGAGTATCCATACGAATAATAGATAATCGACACTCAATTTCTACATGCATTATTATTTTTCAAGCTCTCGCAAGATATTAAAAAAAATATAAGATTGTTATTCAATCTCTCGTAAGAAAATTATAAACTAAAATAATGATATAATTTTAATTCCTACGAAAATTCAAAATTCAATTTTCGACCCAAAATTTTGTTTCTAACTTGGCACATGGATTTTGTGAACAATGTAGTTTGAAAAGAAGTTTGGAATAAATATGGACCCAAACACATTAACAGTAAACTAGTTTTCATGTAACAAATAAATATGAATGCTTGGCCACATATCTTAAGCATCGGGGGAACCCGTACTATGTGCATATGTTATGGAACCACCTTACACCGCCAGTTTAATATCATATTCCTCAAATTTCTAGATTCATCTATCATTTTCATACTATTGAATCACTTCTGTCTTTCTAATAATAAAATTAGATCTATTTATAAATCGGTATGATTTTATAAACATTTTAATGATAAACAAGTTTTGACAGAAATTATCATTATATCATTCATTAGATTATTTTTCATTTTTTAAGTAAAAGAATCTTAAGTTTTATTTAAATCAACATATATTGACCAATAACAAATGAATGCTTAGTGTCTCTTTATATATATGTAATGTAGGGAGGCTGAAAAAGGTTCACTTTATTTAATCCTTTTTTCTGGGGAATACGGCGGTTAAACTGAAAGGGCCAAATTTCAAGGACGAAAACCTATCAAATGTGCAGGCGACCGATCATTCATTTTAACTTTTCCACTGTAATAAAAGGCGAAGCTTGAAAGCATTCCCCCCCCCCCATCAGAAACTGCTATATGAACATAGAGATTTAATTAATGAACCAAAAAGAAAACTCCAACATGCTTGTACGGTAGACATTGATATTTTGGTAATAAGATTTGAGTTTTTGCAGTACAAAACGGCTAGAAAAAAAAAAACAGTTTTGGTGGGGTGATCCATGAAGGATATTACGGATTCAGACAGCTCTGAAAGAGCTTTGTAAGAACCTCAGCTACCAGAGAAACGACATCACCCTGCTACTATTTCTATAGCCTATTTAATCATCTTGTTTCTACGTACATCGAACAGTGTTCTTATGTCTTGTTAAAAGGTCAAAATTCAATTAATGGTGACAAGCAATAATCTTGTCATATTTTGTACACTAAATGTCTATTGTTTGTCTTTTAATAGAATCATTCAGCGTTGAATGTTGAATCGTTAAGCATTCAGCGTGTTTGTTTCGCACCTCTGAATGATTCAGTGCTGACTGATTCAACAAAACAGTGCTGAATGATTCAGCACAGAAGTATATTCTGAATCATTTAGAGCTAGTTATCAAACAACATGTCACATTCAGAGCCTCTAAATCATTCAATATTTGAATTATTTAACGCTTAATCATTCTGAAATAAACAAACAGCCCCTAAATTTTAGAATGATTGATACCAATTTGAGAGGCAGAGCATAATACTAGGTGGGGATTAATTTGCTTTTCAGGTTATAGTACAGGGACCCTATAAGTAATTTAACCAAACTTTCAAAGCTACAAACTTTGATATAATGGATTACTGATTTCACAAATTAGCTCTCTTTTTTTCCTAAAAAAGAAAGAGAAGCAGTGGTGGCATGGAATTGAAAGTTTAAAGAGGTGGGGGAGATGCAAAATTGTTACCAAGGTGCAGCAACTTTTGAAGAGCAGTCAATTATCAAAAGAAATATCAAATAACAGCAACACCTGTGCAGCTTTCCATTAAATATTTGGGGCCATAAATCAACATAAACGACAAATGTTGTGTTTTCTGCAGTCCTAGCTGTCCCCCATGACTTGGTGTGTTTTGATCCTCAACCCATTTCTTTCATTACTGTGATGCTTCATGCATTTAACTGATATATATATATATATATATGCAAATGTTCATTTCGGACTAAAGCCAATCAACCAGGCTGGAGTGTCAAATCTGGGAGAATCCTGACATAGTCAATAAATGATGTTTACTCTTTATATCAGACTTCATTTTCATACCTGTTAATGTCTTGGATAGTGATGGAGGTTTCCGACTTTCCACTGTGGTCGAGAGCTTTTGAAAGAAGAGTTGTGATCTGAATGGTGGACGAGGTGGGGGTGAAGTTGAGTAACAATAGGTCTATGTGTCTTAGGGGTGAAGGTAGCGCACGGGGCCTATTTATACACTTACCGCATACATCTGATAGGTTTAGTCATTCGCCGTTCCATCAAGGGAAGTCGTCTTTCGATTGCCGATCGGGCTTTGAGTTGGGGATGTGTACTTTGAGCCAGTAAACAGAAGCTTTACAGCAATTGAGTGATGAAGAAGCATTGCTACAATCTGAACCATGCAGCTTCTTCACCAGTTTCTTGTCACATGCATTGCCTATACACACAGGATTGAAATTATAACCATGTTGTTCTCTGCAATAATTCGAGAAGGACTAAGCGGGAACTGAATAACCGAGATCAGCTACATACATACATACATACATACATACATACATGCATACATACATACATACATACATACATACATACATACATACATACATACATACATACATACATACATACATACATACATACATACATACATACATACATACATACATACATACATACATACATACATACATACATACATACATACATACATACATACATACTACATACATACATACATACATACATACATACATACATACATACATACATACATACATACATACATACATACATACATACATACATACATACATACATACATACATACATACATACATACATACATACATACATACATACATACATACATACATACATACATACATACATACATACATACATACATACATACATCTATCTTTGGTAATCTTAATATCTAATATAAAATCTTTTAATTCACATGCTGCTTATGTGCATATAGAGACCTGATCAATATGTATGTGCGTTTGTGTGTGCGTGTGTGAAGCTTGACTGGTCTGTCTCACCTGCATTGCGCCATTAAGGAACCTGATGCTTCTATCCTCGACCTCCATGATGCTGTTGCGATGGTCGTCGAGTTTTTTTCTTTTGTCATAAATGATTTTGCTATCCACTGCTGTGTGAATTTAGGGTAAGACAATTATCCTCAACAAACATGCCAAAAAGGCATGAAATAGGAACCTTGCACCCCAACAGTTTTAGGCAGTTTATACTATTTTTCAAAGTTTAATGTAATCTGGTTTTCGGTTCTATATAAAAGATATCGTTAATCATTTCCAATGTATTACTACTCATTCTAATCGTATGTCCACTGCAATTGCTTAGCTAACATCGAAACTAGGCCTCAGTTAATCAATAACAATCATCATACTATATGTTAATGACCTTTTGAATGTGTACAGATGGGTTTATATATCAAAGAGAGGATAAAAGAAGAAATAGCTAAACTTGTTTATGCATACATGCATGCATATAGGGGAAAAGCCACCAGAAAGTACTTGATGCCTTCATTTCCTTGAACATTTGATGCACCAAATTGGCTAGGCACTTGTTTTTGCTTATTATTTTCATAAGTTAGAAAACACAAAGAATAACTTAATTATTATTATTATTAATTTATTATTCCACAAGGCCAGCCTTTTTGCAGTTGATTGTGAAAGGAAATTAAATGAAATTATCCTAGAAACACAGCACTACAAACATTGGGGATTTTTTCTCTTACCCTTTCCTTCACTTGTGACTTAATATGAAGTCATCGATATCATTGTTGATTCTTTTCTTGGCTTTTACATCTCCATTCTTCGGTGCCAGCTGCTGCTTCTGTGAACTCGAGGGTTTACTGCTAGGTTTTGAAGGTTTAATCAGAGTGCCGGTCCGAAGTTGCTTCTGCCTTACTCTGCTTCTTTGCGTATGTCTTTCTGGCTTTTTCAGGGGACAACAAGCCATGTTCCATCATCCTACAATCGAACAGTGTTAGTTCGGAATACCCTTTACAAGTATTTTACAAATGCAAAACGAAAGACATGATGGTGACAATCAATTGAATCTTCCTTACATCAGAGATTAAAATTTAAAAGAGCCACTGATGGCATCAATCAGAGTGAACAAAAGAGAAGTATGACACTAGAAATTGAATGCATATATATCTTACGTGTGCAGCTTCAGACCTGAGAAACATTCTTGTTAGACAAAGAAGTAATTGGCCTATTATCTATCAGCACAGAAAAGAGAATTTTCCCTTATACCGAAATTGTTAGATTGAAATCGGCTTGATGCCCGGGGATGTGTAACCGGCTCTCAACATGGACTTTAAAACAGGTATAAGAGGTGTGAAGTTCACTATATGCAGATAATTAGTGGTCTTCATTCGCATCAAACCAACGAAAGCTTTCGCTTAGGATTGAAGTGAACAACACGCAACTGGTTCCAAGGATTCCATTTATAATCGAATACCAATGTTGTACATACATAACATCAATTAGATGCCGCAAAGAAAACTAGTTGATCTCCACGGTCTAAGAAAACAGTAGGCAAGAAGCATTTTTGGAAGAAGGAAACCACACCAAAATTCTGCCATTTCACTTGTTGGTATCTGTTTCGACCCGAAAAGGAAAAACATCGAGCAAAATCAATTACTAGAGACATGTTTATATGAAAATGAAGAGATTTGAGGCAATATGAAGACAGCCTCTTAAGGAGGATCATGTTTCTGGCGAGGCAAAGTATAAACCTTCTTCTCCCTAGCTTTAGTTTTTGTGGTTGTAGTGGTTTTTGATGAACTCGAACTTGTTTTCGATTTTACCTTCTAAATTGAAAAAGAAAAACGAGTTCAATTCATGCATTTTGGGAGAAAAATAGACAAATACATACAGATAGACTGCCAAATCTCCCAATTGATCACAGAATAAAATAAATCCACCAAAATTATAGAACATCCCTTATCAGGATCAATCAACCCGTCATTAAATATCCTGCATATAAGGAAACCAAACTTTGAAACTAACAATTCAATGAAAAAAAAGGAAACTCAGAACATCAAATCGAAAAACAATCAATAAAAAACCAACAATTCTTATGAAAATTTTAGTTCAACGAGAAAATTTAGAGATTGGTACCTCTGTTTTTGGTGTGACAGTTGACAGAGATTTTTGCTTTGCATCAACATGCTGTTGTTTGCTGGAGCTTTCAAGCTTCTTCTTGTTCACAGCAGCATCAAACTTTCCCTTTGAAGAACCATATTGACCACTGGGCTGCTTCACCTTAACTAAATTGGATTTGGTCTCTGCGGTCATTTCTGGAAAAATAAAATCTTTTAGATTGAAATTCTTTGCAAATTTGCTAACTTGATCGAATTAATAATATCTTCTCCTTGCTTGTTGTATCCATTGAACAATCAGTTTAATAGCTTTTGGGATGTTTAATTATTATTAAATATATATATTTTTTAAAATAAGGTCGACAAGAAGAAAAAGGTTGGAACTTTAGCTATGCTATTGCCGTTTAACCGTTAACGGCTTCCTTTTTTATTTAGGACTAATTCTAGTTCAGACCCTAAACTAAGTTAAAGGTTATAATTTAATTTGTGAACTTTAATTTGATTATTAAAATTTTTAAATTTAAAGATAATCTATTTGTTTTCATAAAAATCTCTTCATTTTACTATTTTCAATCTTTAACTATATATTTTTCACTCGTCCAATATATATATATAGGATACCAAACACAAACCTTATTCTATGTAAGCCATAAGCAAAATTTATTCATGAAAAAGTAGAAAAGGAAAACAAAAAGTGCAAAGCCAGAGCTGCACTTAGAAGAAACAAATTAAGTTAAACTAAACTAAACTATATATGATATGCTTTGACATTTTATTACATATATGATATATCATTTCTGCAACACCAGCTCCGGCTCAAACCTTCCTTGAGAATTTGGGTGCAGGTGCATGTGCCGGTGACTTTTCTGGTGTCGCTGTCGGAGAGGAGGATTTTGGCCCAGCAGCAAACGACATCGGCACTGCAGCTCTTTTAGCACTTCTCATCGGTGCAGGTGAAACTGCACTTTTACCGACGACCGAATGGACTAAAAGAATCATGATCATTGAGATCAAAACAATGACCAAAGCAATCTTTGCCATTATTTTATTTGTTTTTTTTATTTTGTAAAGAGAATATTGTTACGGATTTATTCAGTGAAATGGGATCGATTTTTTGAGATCGAAATCATGAGAAATTTATAGCGATTCGGAGGAGACATGCGGCGAGTCTACGGTGAAGCTGGTGACAAATAACCCGTTTTTTTTTGTCTTTTTTTTTGTTTTTTTGGAAAATTCAAATATTTAAGTTATTTCCATGTTTTTTTCCATATTATTTTAATTGTGTTTTATCAACACAAGTGGAAGCTTTGTTCATGATTCGCCACCTATGGTTCACTATCCATTCCTTGAGATGCGAAGTTAAAAAAACTCTCAAGTCGCCAATGAAAACATTACCACCACCATCAGCGGTCATATGAAAATTTATAATTATCATAAATTTTAAATTTTTTAAATATATTTTTATTAAAAATATATTTTTGTCTCTTAGATTTTTATAAATTTGTTCCACTTAAAATTTTAGAGGTTGGCCCTAAGTATAAAATCATGATCTATTATTACCTACAAATGTTTATTTTTCGATTTTAGAAGAGAGGTATATGATTATGCTCATATGCATAAAAGGGTCAATAATTAATTAAATTAAACTTTAAACTCAAATAAAAATACTCTTATTATTTTATTTGATTACAATTATTTGACGTTATAAGTAAGAATTAATAAATATAAACTTAAATTTCAACGTTATACACTATATACAACGTAAAATAGTGTGGAAGAAGAGAGTATCTGGTTCTCAAATAATCTAAGCTAGGCCTTCATTTGGAAAACTCTATTATACCAAACAGAATGCAGAATCATATGAAATATGTCATACTTCTCTGGTCTAGGATGCCAAAGAAAATGTTGTTGTACCTTTTTGACACTGAGCTGCATCTGCAGATATCTCTCCTCCGAGATCGACAAGAGGATCTTCTTCAGATTCGGAACATCCTTCTCCAGAACAAAGATCGCGAACGATTCCCAATTCAAGACCTCGAAAAAAGGAGGAACAAAATTGTCAGATATGATCACCGGAACACATTCATAAAAAATGGCCTCTACCACTCGTGGACTGTTGACCTCGTAACCTCTGGGACAAATGCAGTACTTGCTGCTCTTCATGTGTTGGACGTAGTTCATTTTACCCTTACGGTTGGGCATTTGACCGAAGATTTTCATGTCGGGATCTTTGTTGTTTCCCCAGTATTGTAATAGAATTGGCCTTAAATAACCATGCATGCCTCCCGCGAAGAAAGCCAGGATTGATCTCTTAGATGGAGGATTGCCACCAAGGGCTCTTAGAGGTTTCTGAGGATTCCAAATGATGGTCTCGGGAAGAGATGCATCCTTCCCAAAAATATAACCTTCTCTGAGATCGGAATTACAGAGGGCCCTTATGCAGTTGGCCATGTATTCCTTTGTTTCAGATGCTGCCTGAGAAAGTAATGTTTATTACAACATACTCTATGTTGAAGAATAAATGATTAACTGACTCCTAAACCTATAACTACAGGGACCTGCCAGATAGTTTAAACTAAGAAGAAAACGGAAATCAAAACAAGAACTCACAACTGAAGAAATCATGCCAATTGTAACTAAGTAGAAGAGCTTAAGTGGTTCCAAATGCGAGGAAAAATAAGTAAAAACCAAGAAAGCATGAAAAAGCATACCCAGTCATGGCAAGCAACGAGAAAATGATCAGCTCCTTCAGTTCTATTCCAGAAAGGATATTTTGCTGCAATCATGTCTTTATACTTCTTCAAATACTCTATAAGGTTCTTTTCATTGTGAGAATCAGGGACATATAGTGTTTCTTCTAACATTCTAGAACTAAAAGGTAAGTAAAACAGTTGGGCTTCTTTTGGTTTTTTGGTAACAAATTTTTTATTGGTAACTAGTTGCTTCATGAACCATCCTTCAGAGGCATAAATACCCTTGAGAACCGGGGTATGAAATACAGGTCTCTTTCCTTCCTTGTAGACATATACTTTGAGAGTGGTTTCCATCAATTCATAGCTCCTGTAATTTGTTTATACGTTATGATCTTGAGTAGAAGTAGCAAACAAATTCAAGTTTCATATACCATTTAAAAAAGCTCGGAATCTTTTCCCTAGACTATGCGAGCTCTATCTTACTCTTCATTTACTCTTCTTGACTAATAGTATTCACGCATGATTTCTGTCATACTCTAATGCTTTTATCCCTTCTACAATAATTAATGATCTATTGATTTAAGATCCTTCCCTTCTTCTAGATTTGATTTGCTACTTCCACCTCTTTGTGAACTTATTTCTTTCTTTTCTTTTTTTTGCATATATCCATCTTACCAATGTCAACTCAACCAGCACTTGCTTGTACTACATTTTAATTTAATGATTAAAAATGAAAAAAGAATATAGAGTCCACAACATACCTTTTGAACATAGAAACATTCCGATAAAGAGGCGCATAGAGTTGCTGATCATTCTCTAAAATAGGTGCATTCTCAATCTGCGATCTTGTATTTAATAGCACTTTCTCTGCTGCTGAAGACCATCTTGGTGTCTACAAAAAAAAAATGGAGACAGAACAAATCATCGAAGTATTTGAATAAATCCATTCCTTGGGAAAAATTGAAAAACAAGATGTTTGAGCATACCGTGGAATAATATGAAACACGACTTTGATAAAATAAATTGTTCATATCAGATATCGTGGCTAGTGTAGATGGCATCTCAGGCTTTCTCTTCATCTTGGGTGTTTTGGGGGGATTATACTCATCACCGAATGAGGTGGAATTATTCTTAACTTCTTGTAATTTTCCTTTCTTGTCAAATCTTGGCGTCACGTGTTGCTCCACTGAAGATATACCGGAATTGACAGGCACAACAGGGTTCCTAATACTTACCTCAACATCTTTCTCTAAGGTATTTTTCATTGATGAATTTGTGACCCTTTCTTCAGCTTTGCTAGCCTCCTCTGCCACCGTCTTATTATTGTAACTTTCGAGATAATCTTCAAATTCCTCAGATGAAGACTCCCAATGATTATCTAATATAGAAGAACTTTTCAATCCTACTTCTTCTGATATGAAATCATTACTCTGATCTTTGTCCTTTCCTTCATTGGTCTCAAAATCCTTAGCTGTTTCATTAACAGCACCTGCCTCCTCTGATTTAGTCTTATTTTTGGAACTTTTACCACAATCCACTTCAGAATTCTTATTCAATTCTACCAATTCCTTTGTTGAAGACTCGTTTGGACTACCTTCCCCGAATGTAGAAGATATTTTCAAGCCCACGTTGGTTTCTGATATAGCATCATTATTCAAATCTGTGTCCCTTTCTTCACAGATCTCATTATCTTGAGCTTTCTCGTTACCGGCATATGTTCCATTATACTCCAAACCGATTGAACGATTCACTTTACTTGTCGTCACCTCTGACTCGGCAGAAGGCGGAGAACTAGCTAAGAAACTACTTTGTCCCTCAACTGAAACCTTATCAGAAGGAAACGATGTCGACAGCATATTCCCGTATGGAACCTCAAGATAATGGAGTTTTATAATCACGACAAACATAATTCCTATGAGCCATATCAATTTCTTGACATCTAACTGAAACCAAGATTTAAGTTCGTGTCCCATTGAAAAACAACTGGACATATTCTCAACTCAGCTCCAATGCTAAATATCATCACTGCATTGTGTTCCTCGGTCCCTGCATTAAGTCAGAGTGAAACTCCTTCCCTAGTCCATGAACCTAATTCAAACCAAGTACAAAAAAGATTCAAAAAACCTTATAACCATATAATCAGCATACCGAACAGCAGTTGAATCAACCTTAGCAGTCAACGATTCAAGTAGAAAAAAGAAGTCAACGATATAGAGAGTGTAAACCATTCAAATGCAGATCTAGCGCCAACTCTTTCTATTAATCAAATATGAAGATCCAGAAAATACATAGAGAATTAACGAAACAGCTAGAAACACAAAATTCAACTAAAAGGAGAGGAAAAAGGACGCTTACGATTTGCTGGCCGAACTCTTACTATTCGACTTGAGGTAAAAGGAATCTCAAATTCAGGAAAATAAAAGAAGCTAGGAATCTTCCATAAGAGGTACACAGTTGTAAAAACTAGTGAGAACAATCTTCGTCCTCTTTCCTTCCTTTTCCTTTTCCTTTTGATTTGATGAACTACCTTTTTACCATGAGCAGCCGAAAAGTGAAATGAAGAGAACAAGGATTCAACGCAGCTTCCGTTTTACTGAAATTTTGGCTTTACCAATATAATTTGCAAAGAAAGAATCTCCAGCTAGGCTTTTTAGGGAAACTACTTTAACCGCTAAGGTTTGAGAGAAATTTTAGAATATAGAGTAAATAATCATTTACTAATTGATTTTACATTAAAAATGTCAAAATTATAAAAAAATCTTATTAAAAATTTTAAATTAAAGAATTTTAGTTAGATTTAAAATTATCGATATATAAATTGATAATTAGAGAGAATGAATGATTAATTCTATTAATATATGAAAAAGTACTATCAAAATATTTTCGTTCAAATTAAATAAACGAAAAAAAAGATTTAAGGTTGATATAGGAGATCTTAATCTCCTTCTTTCCCTTAACAAGGTAGAGTTCTCTCTACTATGATCAAATTTCTTGTTTTTATCTTATTGGCATTTTGTTTCAAATTTATAAGTAATAAAATATATTGAAGTTTTTCATCTGAAATATCTTAGAAATCTTCTTAATATAAAAAAATAAAATATCTAAATTAAAACTGTACATAAACATTTAGGACTGCAATGATTTTTGGATGTTTGAAATTTCAATAGATAAAAATAAAAGATACCTTAACTTTCCACAAAATATTTTTTCAATTGAAAGTGGCATTTAAATTATCAATTTCTCAAATTTACCCAAAAAGCTAACAATGATTTTGGGCTTCATGATGCCACTGGGAACTTTAATAATGGGCCTACTGTTCTATTGAACCTAATTTGGAAAAGATGAAAAGAGGGCTAAAGCCTATGAACATTATCCGTTTCGATTTTTTTAATGTTGGTTTTATAATTTTATATTTCAATCGGTAGTTATCTCGAAATCAAATATTATTAATTAATTAAAAACATGAACCAGTTGTGCCTTTGTGCGTGCCATTGTTAGTTCTACAATGAAGCAATTGGGGACTCATGTTTCCTGTTGCGGGTAGGGATGGCAACGGGCCGGGTTCGGGCCGGGTATTGGTCCCCCCGTCCCCGTCCCCGTTTAAAAAACCGGTACCCGTCCCCGTTTAAAAAACCGCGGGGATTTAAACGGGGATCCCCGTCGGGTAATCGGGAAAAACCGCGGGGAAACGGGTATCCCCGTTTAGCACAAACGATTATTTAAACGGGTATTGGGCTAGGTATTGGGTCGGTATTGGGCTGGGAATCAGGCCGGGTATATATATATATTTAAATTAAATATATATTTTTTATTTAAATTAAATTTATTAATATTATATATATATATATATATATATATAAATAATTATTTTTAATATTTATCGGGTCGGGTATCGGGACGGGTAATTGGGGCGGGTAATCGGGTAATCGGGGCGGGGATTACCAAACCCGTCCCCGTCCCCGTCCCCGTTTAAAATAAATAGGTTTTCCCCGTCCCTGTCCCCGTTCCCGTTTATCATCCCCGAACCCGACCCGTTTAATTCGGTTTTCGGTTTTCCCCGTCGAGTTCGGGTTTTTTTGCCATCCCTAGTTGTGGGCAGCCTCGTTACTAAAACAGTTAATGTCAGTAGTTAGGATGGCTACCTAATCTTTGAACAATGATAAATGATTGGAACCACCCAATGTACTCGTATAAATACAGTGTACTTGAATGACCCGTGAGCTGGAATTTCTACAGATGATCTTACCTTGTAAGCTTCCAATGATTGGAATTACTTTTGGATTTTACCAACATCGGTAAAAATATTGTATAGATCCTTGTAATAAACAATCCTAACTTCGTTTTTAAACAATATTACACGTCAATGAATGCAAGTATCATTGAACGTATTTGTATTTGTAATGGCTTTCATCGTGTATTAGCACGTCTTCTTTAATGGTGCTATTGAGTCATCACCAGTAACCACAACGCACCAAATTAAGTTTATATAACCACACCATCAATGCATATCACTTATATCTGTAGCCAGCTCTCACATGTTTTCACTCTGATCTCACAATATCCTATTTGCCATGGAATTCTATGGGAGACATGCCCTCCATGGTTTCATGGATGAAGAAAGCAATCCATCCCAATCACCTCCTCGCCTTTCCATCAGAACTCATCGCTTAGATATGCACGACCAAGATCTCCAATTCAGCCCCGGACGAGCTTCGAGCCCCCGAGCGAGTCCCACCGCCATGCACTCGATGTTCCCGCCCGGTAGTCCCGAATCGCCGTGGGCGCTCTCCCCTCTTCAAACCCCGTCCCCGGCTCTCCTCTACCATTGCATCGCTTCCCTTCATCGCCAAGAAGGGAACATCTACTCGATAGCGCTGTCGAAAGGGTTAGTTTTCACTGGCTCCGATAGCAACCGTATTAGGGCGTGGAGGCAACCCGACTGCACCGAGCGGGGTTATATCAAGGCGAGTTCCGGCGAAGTCCGGGCCATTTTCGCGTACGGTAACATGCTTTTCACCACACATAAAGACATTAAGGTCCGAATATGGAACTACACGGTTTCGGATAATTTCAGGTACAAGAAGATCACAACACTCCCTAAAAAAACCTCGTTTCTAAAGTTCCCGAAAACAAGCAGCCAACAACACAAAGATTGCATTTCCTGCATGGTTTATTACCACGCCGAGGGACTTTTGTACACCGGCTCGTACGACAAAACAGTAAAAGCATGGCGGCTTTTGGACAAGAAATGTGTCGACTCATTCGTGGCACACGAAAGCAACGTTAACGCCATCGTCGTAAACCAAGACGACGGCTGCGTTTTCACTTGTTCCACCGATGGATCAGTAAAGATATGGAGACGAGTATATAGAGAAAACTCGCACACATTAACGATGACACTAAAATTCCAACAATCTCCGGTTAATGCCTTGGCCTTGAGCACGACATTCAATAACTGTTTCCTCTACTCGGGCTCATCCGACGGAACCATCAACTTCTGGGAGAAGGAAAAAATGTCGGGTAGGTTCAATCATGGCGGTTTCTTACAAGGACATCGTTTTGCAGTTCTATGTTTGGCGGCTGTCGAGAGGTTGGTCTTTAGCGGCTCCGAGGATACGACGATTAGGGTTTGGAGACGAGAGGAGGGGAGCTGTTTCCATGAATGTCTGGCGGTGTTGGATGGTCATAGAGGACCGGTTAGATGCTTGGCGGCTTGTTTGGAGATGGAGAAAATCGTGATGGGGTTTCTGGTTTACAGTGCTAGTTTGGACCAGACATTTAAAGTGTGGAGAGTTAAAGTTATGCCTGAAGAGAAAGTGTGTTTCGATTTTGCAGAGAGAAATGATTCCAAGACGAAGACGACAATGGAGTACGAGATGAACCCTGTTTTGTCTCCTAATTGGGTCGAGAAGAAGCTTCAAGGTAATCATTTCCAGTAGTTTTAAGATAATGTTTTGATATTTACATCTTTAAATTTAAATTATTAGTTGAATCCGAACCATTTCGATTGGATCAAATCAAATTGGATCCTTAGTAGTTGCATGATTTCATAAAAGAGAGCTGAGATGAGCGTAGACAAGATATCATGTAGAGCTTAGATAGGCATGTGGTGTGAATGATTCCACATGGCCAGCTACTAAAGAGTAAAAGACCATATGATGTTGGCCTTACCGATCCAATCTTAATGAGAAATAAATATATATAGATTTGCTTATTTATGCAACCAATTATGCAACTTAAACTTTAATGGATAAAATATAATTCTTATTCGATTATCGATTAATTAGTAAAATAGATTATCAAACAAAGATACAAAGTGGAGTAACCCTGCACTGAAACTTAATACATTGAGAGACAAGGAGACCATAAAGTTAATCAAGACTTAAAAGCCATCTTCATGGGAAAGGGGAACATGAGTCCTGAGAATGAAGAAATTCTCATAGATGTAGCCAGCAAGACCGCCCCCGATTAGAGGTCCCACCCAGTAAACCCAGTGATCGGTCCAGTTCCAGCTAACCAAAGCCGGTCCGAATGACCGAGCCGGGTTCATCGAGGCACCAGAGAAAGCTAATAAACTTAAAAAGTTATAAAATATGTATCTGTTCAGACGTTACCAATCCTCCGGTGAGATACTTGAGAAGTATACAAGCAGCTGAAGATGCCAACAACTGATCAATCCAGTACAGGATAGCTCGGAACACCGTGATGTGACCGCCGAATAGCAACCCAATCGTGACGGCTGGGTTAAGATGGCCGCCGGATATGTGTCCGGCCGATATCATAACGCCGACCACAAGAGCATGAGCCACCGCCACTGCAAACAACCCCACCAGTGTATTTCCTCCCAACTCATCTGTTCATTATCACAATACGTTAAAAAAACATAAAAAGCAAGTTGATCCATGATAGTGGTGAAATTAAGCTAATGAATGCTTGATTACCGGCGGTCATTGCAGCTCCAACTCCGGCGAACACGAAGAAGAAAGTGGTGATAAACTCGATAGCAATCGCTCTTATGCAGTCAGGCTGAGCAGCCTCTCGGGTAGTTCCCAAGGCAATTTTCGGCATGGTGATGACCGGCCGGAGAGTATCAAAAGACTGAGCCTATCTATATGATGTTTGCAGCTTTAAGATAATTGGGAGCTGGCTTGGCTGTACTTTGCTTGATGACACATCTATATATAAGCGCAAGTGTAATGTTTCGACTGTTTTTGTTTATTTGTTAAACTATAAATCTCACCATTCAATTTATACGTATTCCTGTTTTAGTCATTTAATTTTAAAAATATTCAATGCGATTACTAAACTTTCATATTATTTTCTTTTTAATCACTCCGATGTTTACTAGGAAACAACATTATAATATAAATGGTTTTATATATCTATGTGGACTTCATTTTGTTGATATGCAAACTACCTGTTAGTCACGTTACTTTTTTTTTCTTTCTCTATAAACTTTTAAAGTTTTATTTATGTGTCATATTGAAATTAGAATTGTCATTTTTTAACATTTTTTATCACATATGATATTGATAAATTTACCTGTCACTTTATTAATTTAGGATTTCAAAAAATCTTTTTAAAACTTGTAAAACTCAATCAAGAATCTAGAAAGAACAACTCTTATCTATAATTTTAATTGTGTGATCGATATAAAATTAAGATACATTACTTTTTAGTCTTTCTCCACCTCCCCACTATTATAATTTAAAAGAATGTGTTCCATCGTCACGAAATCATATAATTTTTTTACAAAAATAAAAATATTTTGAAACCTTTTCATAATTTTTAAAAATGAATACTCAGATATAACAATGTTAATTATCCAACAATAGAGGACGAAAAATAAATTAATTTAAAAGTTTAGTGATGAAATTTATCGTTTACCTTATTTATTTTCTTTGGGGTTTTTAATAAAGAGATGCCGCCGCACGTATCGATGTAATGCAATACAATACAATTATTTCGCTTTTGCTCGTTGACTTTCTTTATTGCTATTGGTTCATTAAAATTTTCTTCTACTCTAATTAAATTTGGGATTTAAAATGTTAATCCAATTGTCGACCGCATAATTATTGTAAAATATTACCAATTTGGAATTTTGATTAATAATTATATTTTGTCATAAGGAGGGGGAAGACTAATCAAAATTAAAATAATATTTCTATTAATATATTACATATTTAATTAATTTAACAAAATATCACATTATACCAACATATATCATGTCATATAATTTTTCCCGTAAAATAAATTACCACTATGTGTTTTATTTTAATTAATCTTTTATGTCAATTGTTGAGGTTATCATATAAAGATGGATCAAAGGAGACGAATGAAAGTGATTGTTTCTTGAAAATTCTAAAATTTATATATTTTATATATTTTTAGTGAAAGTCTATTTTTATCCTAAAATTTTAAAAATTAAGATCCTTTAAAAATTTATAAATCTTCCTTGATATAAATTTGTATGTCTGTCTCTCCCACATGACAAATCCAAGTGTAAGCACAGAAATGAGCAAACCACGTGGTTCTGCATGTAGACAGCATGTCGAACCATAACCTTTCGAGTTTTTCAGTTTTACTCTTGCTTTGACTAGGGCCAGAACCAAGAATTTACTAGGTTAAAATATATTTTATTTTTCATAAAAATAATTTTTTTAATTGAGTGGAGCCGGTTAAATTTTTTTTATTTTCTAAAAATATATATTTTCAATATTAATTAATACTTAAAAAATGACAGAGACAAAGATTTCTCTTAACCCCGTGAAGTTACTTCTCGTGGGCCTCTGCCAACATTGGTGGCTCCACCACTGTTTCAGAACCACAACCACCCGGCGTTCCGATTCCTTACCGCCCTCACTACTAGTTTATGAGAGCATTAACCATGTCAAGTATATGCATAATGAGACAGGAAACATATTATGTGAGTGTTATTTTTATGTAGCCACTATATACACAAACTACAAGACATTCATGAACACGTTTCAAATTATTATTATTATTATTATAAAAAAAACATTTTATTTGATATATTTGTAAATTAATATTGATAATTATCGTTGATTAAAGACGGCATAAAAATAAGATAATGAATTCACATATTACAAAAGACATTGAAGTTAACATGCTTATAAAAAAATTATTTTGATTTTTTATATTGATTTCAAACTTTATTTTTAAAATTTTTAATCTTTTATTTTTGGTGAAACAAACATTAGATTAAAGTTTGGGAGGTAAAAACGGTGAATTGAAAATTTTAGGTCCAACGGTCATCGGTAATAGCGATCGACGGTGACTAAAGACGACAACATATAGTGACTGAAAATGGTGATGATTGGCAGCTACTGACGTGAACTTTGACTAAATTCATGGTCAAATTGAAATTTTATAAAAAGTTTAAGGATTAAATTAATATTTTATATAAAGTTTAATGTCAAGTTAATATGCAATCCAAAATTCAGAAGTCAAGTTTAAACTTAATAATCTTTACTAATATGTCATGTCAACAAAATAATTTAGAGTACTTCAATGACTAAAATAAGGATATAAAAAATGATCAAAATCATTTTTTTAAATTAGTGAACAAAATCAAATATAAAAAACCAGCAGTGTTATTTTCCTATTTAAATATTACATCAACAACATCACTCTAACATAAGAGGTTATAATTTGTTTCTCAAAAAATAAAGCTACTTTTTTTTTTAGTGAAAAGAGTTTTGGATTCAATCGATCACTTTGAAAATAATAATCCACTGCTACAATAAATGACAGATCAAAAGCTAATTCCCAGATTGGCACATGCATAGACTAATGCTGGACGAAATGAATATGTCGGAGTTAGTGAAGAGTTCGTGCAATCGTGCGGTCTTCTTCTTTACCTTTTTTTCATCATACTCCTACGTCTTTCCAAGCATATATTTGACGTCCAAATAGTGACCTTAACTTTTTTTTAACTAATAAAAATGACAAATTTTATTTATTTTAACACACACATATATATATATATATTCAATATCTATATTAGTTAGACTCTTTTCCATGTATATATTAAAGAATATTGAACGTTTGAACATGCTTAATTTTATGTACCAATGATAATAGTAATCAAACTAAATTCAATCAACAACAAATTTTATTGAATAAATAAAAATAATAATAAAATCATAATCTTAAAAATGTAAAGCTTAAAAAATTATTGACTAAACATATTAATTAATCGCTTGTCCTAAAACCATAAAAAGAGCACAAATTATCTATTAAATTATATTTATATATATATAAATAATTAAAAAATCAATTAAGCAACTAAAAAAATATAGAGGATGCAAACAAAATTTATTATTCATGATGAAAGATAATCATAATCAAAATAACATAAAAAATAAATATAACAGATAATGATATGTTGAATACTGATTTTACCATAGGTTAAGTACAATTTATTTAGAATGATTACTAACATCTATTAATATAAGAGAATAAACCCAAAGATCAAGATCAATGATATATAAGTAAGAAGCAATTGCACACTTCAATACTTTTTTATTTTTATCTCCTTTCTTTTTCATCAATTGTTTAGATAAAATTTCTGAGGTCCTGAAAGAAGCAGCTAGCTTTGTTGACTTTGTGATTGTAACATTTCAATACCCGGTTAGTGACCAAATTATAAAATTTTAGAATTTGGTGATAAAAGTATAATAGTTGAATAGTTAAATGATTTATTTGAAAATAAATCCTGAAAGTTATTGGTAATTATTAAAGGAATTAAAGGGTAAAATGATCATTTGACAAGGAAAGATATTTTTCCCCTTGATAAGAATGAATCACGTGGGGGGGGGGAAAAGAGTTATCTGGAAACTCTCTTTTTCTTCTTCTCATCTCTTCTTCTCGTGTGCCAAGCTAGAGCAAAGGTGAGTTTTCTATTTAGTTGATTATTTGTTAATTTTAAGAGTGAGTTTTGATCATTAGATGATAACTAAGCTTGAGGAAAGTTTAAGTTATCTTAAAATCAAAAGATGAAGAAGTTATGAGAGATTAAAGAGAAGAAGTTTTTAAATGAATTTCTGGAAAATAGTTGATAAGTTGAATTTGAAGTTAAATTTGACTTGTCATCA